TAACTTTACTTAGTATCATTGATTAAGAAAATCTTGAAGTAAATGTTTTTTGAGTTAGTAAATTACACTGTGCAGGAAAGATTGAATTGTATTTGTTTTGAAGAGTGACCTTCTGGCATTAAATGAACATTGATTAGCCAACGTTATGTAGAAAGCAGCTGTGGGCTCTTAACAGTCTTCTCCCTTTGAGATTAGTAAAACCTAATCTTCATAATAAATCATTGTTCTGCACCTCTGTTATATCTGTGATTACACAATTGGAGAGCAAGGGGACAATGAGCAGAGATGATGGAGATTGGAAACATTCTTCAAGGAAGGAAGCTTATTATTTCAGACTTTTTTTATTGCAACACTGTCTTGCAACTTTTCAGTCCCTTTTGTCATTAGAGTATAGAATTATAAGTAGGCACACCCTGTCTCTCTCCAGGATACAGACTTCTTAAAAACACATTACAGGAGAGGCTGAATCATACCATCCTTTAGCCTTCATTCCTCCCCCTTGTCTTTTTATGAGTATGTTTTTAAAAACATGAAGTTTCTTTGGGAAAGTTGTGTGCCGTGTGCTATACGGAGCTCATTCCTCTGATGCTGCTAAAAAAATAATCTTTAGCTCCCTCAAGAGGACAGAGGAGTGCACTGAGCATTGATAAATAGGAATTTTGAAAAGCATGGGTAAATATTCTCAGAAATAATGTTAAGGGAAGAGAAATGGATTTTTTGCATAAAAACCTCTGAAGCTTTAGGATAACAGTAGCAGGGTAGTCCACTTGTATGTATCAGGACACCAAAATAGTAGTAGGTTTTCTGAACAATACTAGGTTGATCATATTTCAGAGACAAAGTTAATATCATCCTGCATACGTGGAAGTCTGGTAGAATATACAATGCTGTAATTTTCATCAGTCACGTCATGATGTCATGGCACAAATGATACACAGTATGCAATTCATTGCATTGTGAGATGCATGACATTGCTTGCCTCTTCTTCAGATGCCAATGCTATGGGCATTCCCAGGGGGACAAAGAAGGATACGTGCATGATGACATCATCAAACAAGTGCTGTGCCTTGCATCAGACATTACAATACAGCTACGCAATGGCGGCATTTGCATTATGACATCATTTCATGCGTATCATTTTATTTATATTGATTTATATTGCTGCCCATCTTGCCAGCTGCGACTCTGGGCAGCAAGCACAAGTTAAAAACCAATAGAAACGAAAGAAGCAACACAAAATAATAAAATAATCCAATAATAACAAAGTGGTGCCAAAGAACAATCTACTTCAGTCCTGGTTGAACTGTCAGTCTTTTCCAACTTCTGTGGGGCAGGAGAGAGGTCTCTTTGTTTAATTCTTCCTTTGTGAGCCCACACGTATCCATCCTCAATCTTTTTGTACATCTCTGAAGCCAGCTGAAATAACCACCTTCAAACCTGTGTGCCGTGTCAACTGCTGTTTAGCTTTTCCCATTAGGATGGTGCAAAAAAACCCCATGTAATGGTGAAACTTCCATTTAAGAGGAAAAAACATGATGGCAGAAGGTCAGGGAAAGAGAATAGTGGAGGAATCAAACTGAAATATTAGGAGAGCAAGACTGCTGTTATGCTTTGTGTGTGATT